TTTTACATATCTTTAATTGTAAGTTTATATGCTTTAATTTTTAATAATGACTATATCTAAAAAGTGGCTAGAAAAATTCCAAGAATTTTAATTATTTCCCTAACTTATGAGCCAGTCTAAACCAGCTCCAGCATACCACTAGTGATGGTTTGCGTGATTCCTATGAAGAATAAAGTAGTTGAGAAATAATAACTTGAAGTTATTGTAAAATAGAGAGCTGACAGTGAAATCAAGGTTCTGCCAGGGTATCACTATGCTTTATATAAAACAATATACTAGATAAATATGGCTAGGAATATTCAATATTAGATACATTCAAATTTGAATGGCTTTACTTTATAGTTTGACAAGTTTTAGATTATTCACCATTTTGGATTTTTCAAATCCATTTTCTCTTTTATTAGTGCAAGTGATTGAGAGGTTATTTTATCACATTTACAAAAAAAGTGTAATTTCCATAAACTTTATATTTTAGTTGGAAAAGGAAGCAAATGCAGAATCTCTGAAAGCCTATTCTGCTCTTTCATTCATGTGTGTGATTAAAATCTGACTTCCATTTCTTCACATTATAAACTCTATCAGAATCTCTTTCACACTTCAATAGTCTTCTAAAAAAACTATACTAGACAAAATGAGACAATGAACACTAGGAATATGCTGTTTATCTCAGATATACTGCTGTCTTTCAGTGTATATTGAGTATGAATTGGCTAAGAAACAGGAATAAAGGAAATGATGGTGAAAACACTTCTAATATTTTTACTTTATGTATTTGGCACTGAATGCAGCAGTGTCTGCTTGTTGGCTTTTTGGTGACTCAAGTTCTTATGTGCTTTCAGCAATAAAAGAAATGGATAAAGGAGAAGAACTGCTGAATAAATGAAGTTGAAAACTGCATGGTAATAGTGCCATTTAGTAATTATTTTGTCTTTAATGCTATATTGAATACAGACTGGTTGTTTTTAAACACTGCAGTTGTAAAAACCTATCAGTTTTCTCAGTATACACTTTAAATTGTAGTGTCTTTATTTCTTAAAATGAGCAAAGAAAAACATATAATTACGGGAGATACAGCACACCAGACATGTTTCTAAGGAACCGGTTCAATAGAAAAGGAATAATTAATGAGATAATAAACAAGGAAAAGATAGTCTGGTTTGTAGAAGAAAAATCATCAGAAATGACTAAAAACAATGAAATAATGAAAATAAATTTGCATTAGTTGCCCGTGACACCAAAAATGAAAGGCTTCCACTTTTGGAAGTTAACTTCTCCTAAATGTCCATGTGCTAGAGTAAAATAGGCCTGCCGTTGAAGTGAATGTACCCTTCATTCACACTTTGTCCTTTGCTCTTTTTGAGGGTGACAGATCACAGGTTCATCCCTTTCTGCTCTAATGGGATTGGACAAAGCCTATGATCATGATCACCAAGGATACTTACTTTAGGGACTAGGGATCAGCCTAAGGAGGGAGAGGAAGATTTGATCAAGCCTATACTTACCGATGTCAGAAGCAGATGAGGAATGGGAGATGTATTGGTCTAGAATGAGAAAAGCTTAGTCTCCTGAGGGTGAAAAGTGAAAGAGAACAGAATTGATACAGCTGGCAGCTCACTAAGAAAGGAAGGCAGAATGAAAGAAATGGACCAGGGACCCTTAACCTGCAGGTAAAGGCATGGCCTGAGGCAGGCGCTAATAGGCAGGAGGCAGACATATGAGGTCATATTGATGCCAATGATAAAGCAGCCACAGTAGGCTCTGTGAGATTAGCTGAATATATAAAGCATACCAAATGAGAAAAAATAAGTAAATATGTGAGAGTAGCACTTTACAACCAGGATAGGTAAAGTGTATTCACTTTAGAGTAGAACTGCCAATTCACAAAAGAAATCAGATGAAACTCTATTGGAATCATAATCTTGTCTTTTCTTACATGAGATAGGGTTGGGGGAAATGGCTAAACTGAAAAAAAGTCATAATGGTAGTTTATTTCAAGAGACCCTCATGAGATCTGGACCCTATAAAAAGCAGGAAATGCTTGGGGGAAAAGAGATAAACTTTTATTGGCTATTCAAAGAGTAGATTAACTACTAGATGTCAGGCTGGGCTTGAAATGGATTCATTCACCAGTCTACCACACCTACTTATAAAAACAAACATGTCCCATTTGAGGCCTAACATTTAGCTCTCAGCAAGGGGAAGGGACGTCAAGGAACACGTATAAAGGACTCAGGGACAAAGCCAAAGGAGGGGTAGACTTGAGGGGGGGAGAGTGGTAGCAGGAGAATGAAGACAACTGTACTTGAACAACAATTAAAAAAAGCTGAAAAAAAAAACAGTTAAGTTTCAAGTCAAGATTCAAACTGATTTGCTCTCTATTAGCATAAAACTCTTAGAAAAATTAAGTAATCTTCTGAGCATTGATTTTCTTATTTTAAAAATGGGGCTAACAATACTTACCACGAGGATTAAAGGTAGCCAGATACACAACACACCTGGCACAGAGGAGGAGTTTAATAGGTATTAGTTCACTCGTTCCTGAGTGAACCGTTCAGAGGTGAGGAACACCTGTAAGACATCCGCACGGCAAAACCTGCGCCTGAGTCCTGGTGAGCAGAAAGTCATCTTTGATACAGTTCCTGAGCCAAACACCTCACTGCACTCCCTTCTTTACTTCCCAATTTGGCCACGTCCTTTGCTAATGGCTATTAAATTCTAGGAGTGCTCTCAGGATTTTCAGAGCAACTGGGTCTTGATTCTGGTTCATGCCTGTCTCTTATTCACTCTTTTCCATACCACATTATCTTCCCTAGCTTTCTTCTCTTAGTTGACTGGATGGAGCAGGGTCTTCAACCCATCCCCTATCCCCAGAAACCTTTAGGTGCTCTGTGTGTATGTGTGTGTGTGTGCATATGTGTCTAATCTGTAACACCCAGGCCATGGCTTATTAAAGTGGTTCTCCTTTAAAAAAACAAAACTGTGTAACTTTTGAGGATGTACTTAAATAATATCACTTAAGGGAGAGGGGGCAGAGAGGGCGAGGCTGCTCTCAGTGAGGAGAGTTAGACAGTGTTTTGTTCAGGGTATGTACTGCTAGTTGCTGTAACAACAACCCACAACAAAAGAAAATGCCACTTATGCAAATTCCAAGGATCTTTTTTTGATTTAGCTGACAGGCTCTCCTGTGTGGTTCCTTCCATCCTGAGTTTCTATTTTCTCAACCAGTAGCACCCACATCACCTTGGAAGGTGGAGAGTGGAGGAGGGCTCCATTCCACGGGTCTGAGATGGCTGCACTACCCCACCTCTTAGACAGGCAGCTCTGTAATCTCCCTCAGTGCCCCGGAGGGAAATGAAATAAAAGGTCAACATAGTAACATCATGCCACAAAACGACTCAGAGAAATATTCTGAAATATGCCCTCCTTCCCAAAAGCCATCCACCCATAGAATAACAGCCTCCTTCTAAATACAAAATAAAATTTGGAAGACAGAAACTCAATTATATTTTCTCAGCATAGAATTTCAGTGTACCCAAAATTTCTGGCATAACCATCAAACATAAATTTGATGTATTACCCAGAGATGCAGCTTCAAAGAAAATAAAAGCTCTTAAGAAATCAACAGTCTTTCACAGAGTACTTGGAAACAATTAAGATGTAGGAATATTAGAATTTAATTTGAGGTTAGCAAAATTCCATTGAAAATAATTCTGTAATTTTTATTTTAAGCTGAGGATAGCCAGGATGGCCATTTCTCTTTCATGCACTTTTAAGCACACTGATATTTCATACAGGTTTGCTTGTCTGTGATATTGCCCCCATTATTTTTCTGGCTTAGACAGTGCACACAATAACATATAAAGAAGAATAAGATGGCTTGTATTGATCATAAGATTTGAAGGGAAAGCCAGAACTCATCCATTTTTACACTCCCCCACCCTTGCTGCAAGGTGGGGGGGGGGTGTAGCCTCAAATTATATTTAGTCAATATAATTTGAGGCTAAATTATATTGGAAAAAATGTAAAGATGATGAATATCCTCTCTGTACCTTCTCACCACTGGAAGTTGAGTGATAATAGATGTTTCATTCACCATGAACCCTATAACCCTGTTATCTTTAAAATTTTTATAACTAGCCCACTTAAGATTTAGTGAATAAAATAATGTGTAAACACAGGAGCAAATTTCATGATTCTGCTAAAGGATTCTCTGGTAAGTAGTCAATCACATCCCTTTATCCAGAAGGCAGACATCTGACTTATAAAAACACAGTTGAAACAAATGGATTCTTTCATTCACTGTTCTACCACACCTATAAAAACAAACACGTCCCATTCAAGGCTGAACATTTAGCTGTCAGTTAGAAACAGAAAGAACACTTCCTCAGCAACAGGAAAACCCGAAAAGGACATCTATTTTTAAAAATAAATTGTGAAGCCCTCAGCATTTTGCTGATTTAGTGAACAAGATAAATCTTATCCATTCAAATTAGGTGAAAGTCCTATAGATTTCAAGAATAAATAATGTGATTTTACATGCCTTGTATTTATTTGACTATTTACTTTGGTTTTTATACACTAGACTTTTTCTTGACATTTCTGCTGATTTCTCTGTTCGTGGGTATTTATACACATGACCATGATTAAGTGGGAGGTCTCTCAGTTTTAGTGGAAATGTGGTAATTCAAGTTCATTTCCATACACAAGAACAGTTAACAGCAGTGTGTATATCTGCTTGGTAGCAAGGTTTTCAAAAAAGGTGATGATGAATACACTTGTTGAAGGAAAGTAAGAAGAAAATAAACGGCAATTTTCTGTCATAATACCACAGTTGTAAAATTGAATGAAATCTTAAAGATTATTTGAGCTTGAGCCACAGGATATCACCCAATGCTTCCAATAACCAATTCTATTAATGTACAGAGCATATAAGTGGTAATCTAATTGTAGGTTTCAACCTCTTAACTTTATAGAAAATGACACTGAAACTTAACAAATGATGAATTTTCACTAGAAGGTTTAATCCTGTTTAATTGCAAAGGTAGAACCACAGTGCAAATCTTCTCAGGCTTTTATTCTTTTTGTTCCACAGCCAGTATTGTTGGGAACACGTCAAATAGTGCTTCCACTTAGTTGTGTGTACATCTATTACAAATAGTCTTAAACTTTTTTTTTAGAAACAGAAAGATCATATATTTAAAGACGAAGGCAGGTCAAAGTAACTTTGTGCCAATTAATGCAATACATTACATTTAAAAACAGTAATGATTCTTAGACTAATCATAGTTTTTAGCCTTAGTTGTTAAACTAGTAAGTAGGAAGCAATACAATAGCAGTCTTTGATTTCACCCTTACTCTGTAAAAATGGAACTAGCTGAGGTAAGCCTTAACTATGGGGACGTACTAGGTTTTGTCTTTGAGCCCGGATTCCTTTTCTCATTTCCTCCTTTGGCTGGAAGCAAAAACAGGAGGTCAAAGGTTCATCTTATGATTTATATAAGAACTTGTGGACAAGATCATTGCAAATTTTTAGTTTTTAAAGTTAACTGATTCAATATACTTAAAGACATAGTATATATACATATATAATTCTGATTTATATATTTTTTTCCACTCAATATTGTATTAACTTGAGCAAAAATATTAATTTTCTGAGCCTTGGGTTATTGTGCAGCATTTAGAACAGAGCCTGGCACATGGTAAGAACTTAGCATTAGGTATTATAGAGAATTATACATCTAATATTATATATGTGTATAAATAGATCCTATTGATATCACTATTTATATACAAGTGGAGTTTTTTCCTAATAAAAGTAATTTTATTATGCATTTCCCTTTATGTTATAGTATTCTGTATGACATAATATACAATTTTTTCAAAAGTCGGCACAAAAAAGTAACAATTTAAAAAATCAAATCATTTAGAAGTTTGGGGAATCTCAAGAAAGTGGACAGCAACAAGAGAATCTAACAATATTACAGATTTATGAAACAACATCATAAAGGGGATGGGTAGGAAGGTGCTGAACTAAGCAATTTTGGAACTAACTGAAGTATCTAAGACAAAACAAAGGGAACTATGTCTGGACATTGAACTCTAGTTCATAAAGTCGTTTTTTGCAAGAGGGTATTGATTAACAATACTGCTACACATGTGCACTGAAATTGAACAATTAAGTACATGGATGGCAGATGGTACTAACCAGTTTTCTCACTGTTGGCGTGGGATTTTACAAACTAGCAAAGAGGAGATGATCCATCCTAGAATGGTCCATCTGGTAATGGACACATCAGTAAATGTATGTTTAGCTGAATATACAGATCGTTCCATACAGAAGTATTTACAGGTGGATATGTTATATATGGATTAGAGTGCACCCATATAGGGTCCTTGCTTTGTTAACTGCAAGGGCTGAAAAAAAAAGGGCACTGTGAGTATAAAGAACACATCTAATGCCTACATCTTGATTTCTAATACTATTCAGTAAAAGAACCAAAGTTCCCTAGAGAAGCAGCTGATTCTAGAACTAAGAACTAGGTATAATGTTGTACCAGGAAGTAAGGAATGCTCAAAAATGAAAACAGAAAATCACCTCACACTGACAGATATTTAAAAAATACAGGACAATTGAAAGAGCTCCCAGTAGCCAACGCTGGAACAATCTGAGGAACAAAATGAAAGAGTAGTGAATTTAACCTGAAGTATAAAATAAATATCTGCGAGTTCATACTAATATAAACAAATGACTGATTTGGTAAAATGTGGAAGAGAAAATTTCCTGTGCAAAAATTCCAAATAATTTATGTGGATTACTCCACCCCAAGGAAGAGGAGCATAAATTCCTAATTAAGAGTAGGCTGCACATAGTAACTTCCTTGCAAGGAGTACAGTGTGAAGGGGAAAAAAGAGTAAGTTTGCAGTGGAGAAACCTGGAAACACCACCTCAGCCAGGTAGTCCAAGTCAACTAATAAATCATGCCAATAGTTTGTGTTTTTGATAGGTGACCTGGGGCAAGTTACTAAACCTCTCATCACCTCTGAGGGTAATAAGATCTACTGTGATGGCCTTTTTCAACTGTTAAATATATATAAAATGCCTCCCATAGCAACTGGCCCATAATAGATCTGAAAAATAATATTCATAATTGATAATTAAATGTTTGAAAAATTCCTTGGGTCGTTTTTGTGATGTAAAAATACTTATTTTATAAAGTATTGCCAGTGATTTAGTAATACTTCTGAAATATACTATAGACATGTATATTATCATTATTATGTGCATATATAAATAACATGGTCCTTTTGCTTTAGATCTTGGTTTCATCGAGCTATTATTGAAGAGACTTGTGAACATTATTTTTATGGCTGCAGCTGCTGCAAGGAAAGCTTCATATCATTTGTCTGTGTTAGGCTTAAATTGCCTTAGTATTTTCTCAAAAAGTACCACACAAGATATAAGTGCATGCTGGGCTGTTTGAGGTAGATATCAGATCATGCATAAAGGCCCTGAGATTTCTGCTTACTGTGGCCCTACACTGAGCTGTAACAAAGAACAGGGATCTCCTGCTGTTGTCCCTTCTTAGAAAGTGTCTCCTCTGTTGGTAAGATTTTACTTCAATACTGGACCTTGTTAACGAAGGCATAGTACTATTGAACATTCTGTGGAGGTGGTGACACTGATATTACATTATGAAGAAACTGAAGTTAATGACATGATTTGAGAAATCAAAAGACTGAATATGACAATTGATAGATGCAATTTGCTTGGGAGGTTGATTCTATACTTCGCCAGTTTCTCAGAAGGAATTATAGCAAATTTGTGCCAACCTCATTATGTAGAAGATTTAAAAAAAACTAACAAATAAGCAAACTGGACGTTGTGAATTGTTGTTTGGAGGTTTAGAAATCACTGGCAGTGGCCTGTTTGAAAGCATCAGACATTTGATTTTTGCCTGTGACCTCTTCTTGTCATCCCTTCCTGTGTTAATCAGGCAGATTGGATACGGCTATTGTAGGATCATACATTTGGGAATGATAGACACAGATGTATCCTTAGTGTGTGTTTCTTAAGATGGATTGTTTTATTTTGTCTTACATTTGACTGACAGCCAAAGAATTCAGCATCTCAGCTCAGCCTGTCCCGGGTTTCCTCTGTAACAACTGATATGATGTTTTTAAGATCACAAGGAATAAAACTGCAATCTCTACCAAATTAGGTACTTTTATTTTTTTAAAGCTAGTTGCTTCTGTAAGCATTCTTTCCCAACTACAAAACTACATTTCCATAAGTCTAAAATGACATTATCTTATTCACTTTGTTGATTCTTTTGCTAGCATGACAACTTTGGTGCATGCTTAAAATGAGTTTGTTTTTAACATATTTTACCTTTATCTTTCCTCCTATTACCACCACTGAAAATATTTGCAATGTATATGGTGAAGGGAAAGGTGTAGCTAACTGTATTTTTCGGACCATAAGACGCACCTAGGTTTTAGAGGAAAATAGGAAAAAATTTTTTGAAGCAAAAAAATGTGGTAAAATACTTAATAACATAAACAACATAATATCTCACCAATGTAAATGTAAAGAGAACTCAATAGCAACATTAACCACCATTATTCCTCCCAAATTTTGGGGGAAAAAAGTGAATCTTATAGTTTGAAAAATAAGGTAATTCTTCCCCATAACTGCACGATAACAACCAATGGCCAATCTAAAAACAAATTTTTCTTTCAATGTCAAGGATTTTGTTTCTTAGCAGGTTTAATTATGCTTATTCTTTTTTGGGTCTTTTAGGAAGTGATTCACCCATTCACGTAAGAAATATTTATTGTCTATTATGTGCCATGCACTATTCTTGAATTCTAGAATAGGTACTGAGAAGAGATCATTGAACAAAACAGAAAAATCCTGACCTCATGTAACTCACATTCTAGTAGAAAGAAGACAGACAATAAGAGAAGTAGTATTTATGTTAGAAGATATAAGTGCTATTAAGAAAACTGAAGCAAGAAAGGGTGCTAGAGAAAAGGCAACATTTTAAACAAGATGGTCAGAGTAGGCTTCCTGGAAAAGGGTGACATTTGAGCAAAGATGGGACAGAAGTAAGGGAGCTAGCCACGCAGTATCTCACGGAAAGATCTTTCCAGATAAAGAGAATAGTTAGTGCAAAGGCCCCAGAGCAAGAGGAAGCCCTGCAGTTACAGTAGTGTGGTGCTGGAACAAAGTGTTTAGTAGAAATGAGGTCAGAGAGGTGACTGTAGGGATTTGGTAGGCTAGCTAACAAGGTTTTTTAGGTCACAGAAACGACCCTGGCTGAGAAAGCTGGGAGCTGATGATTTTGGCTTGTTCTGAGGTATGTAGATACACCTAAATATTAAAAGCATACCTATGTCCTATTTTGGGTGGTATAAACCTCAAGTTGTGTCTCTACATAACCTGTGAAAATGTCTTGCTTGTGGTATTAGAAAAATATATGAAGAAAATTAAATACTCAAGCCAGACCCCTAAATTAGTTTTAATTCACTAGCTGGAATCTTAAATATTAATGAGCCTCCCTGTCTTCTTATTTACAGGTTGGAACAGTATCTTTTTCCAGGTTCCTTGTTGTCTCTAGTATCTCTTGGTTTCCCTTAATGTTAGTCTCAGTAGTATTTTCCAATCTTATTTCCGATTCATGGTTTAATTTGTCAATACCAACACATTTTATTGTGTGGCAGAGGTCAGAATTTTGCTGCAACAGAAATATGGAAATTACGTATCAGATGTAGATTAAAACAACTACTTGGCCTCAATTAGTTGAGGGGACTAAAATCGGGATTTTTCTTTAATTCCTGCCAATCTAAATGAACCATTTTGTTTCCCTGGTAAGGATGCAATAGTATAGAGGTAGCATGAGGTTTGCACTATCTTTACTTAATTTTGAGATGAAAGCAATGTATTAAAGTAAGTTTCATTTTTCTCAATAGTACTATTATTCAGGAACGGAAATGGGGGGTGAGTCTGGCAAAGGGAAAGGAACTACTACTAGTTTTAGTTTTCCATAATGCCTTTGTACCCCTTGTAAAAACAAAAAAGGAAGGTGGTTTTTGTATGTCAAATCTGAACATCTACTTCTCAATTTTTTAAGGAACTGGTTTCTACAAGTGCGTAACACAGCAGGTTCAGGTAAGCTACTTCCATTGCAACTGAGGTAGAAGTGACTGCCTCCAATTCCAAACACTGTAACCAGTGGCAGGTTTAGAATGTTATTTCAGGGGCTTTTAGATACACTGCGTTCCAGAGTTCTGGCCCACTGAAGTTGAGACTCATTACAATGACACCTGCTAAAATTACTCACCCCGACAAACACAGAGGGTCAAGAAACCAGTAAAGCAGAAGAGATGGCTGTTAAAAAACAAAAGTGACTTTAATTTTTTTTTTTTATATAGCTTTCTAAGCCCTCATTGTTATGCAGGTGCCGGCCAATCAACTAATCAGCGACAGTCCTAACTGCTGGGATCTGGGTAAAGCTGATACGCCCCGTATCGCTTCCACAACCAGTCGCGTACCCCAGTCAAGAACTCGCCGAGGATTGGTACAGACATAGGAAAGTTTCTGTCAAAGTTTAGGAGAGAGCGACAGAGCAGGAAGTACTTTAGGATCTTAATTAAGGCCCGGACAGTGCAGCGAGCCGAACCTCCCGAGTGCACTTCGTTTGGCGCGGGGGCCACGGCAATGCGAGGGGGAAGCTCCTCTACCGGACAGCGGCCGCCTGGTGCCCGAGACGCGCGACCTCCGCTACGCCAGCAGTCAAAAGCTCGGCCTCTGTGGATCTCGCTCCACCCCCGGGCCAGCCGACCCCGGCGTGCGGCGGAGGACAAGCGGTTCTCGCTGGCGTGCGTGCCGGCTCCTTCGTTAGCCTGGCGTTGGGGCCTCTCTCCACGCCCCGCGGTCCCTCTTCGGCCTGAGCGCCGTACCCTAGTAGCTCAGCCGCCGGATCCTAGTGCGCCGCCGGACGCCAGTCTCCGCTCCCCGACGCGCCGGCGCTATGGAGACAGTCACGAGACGTCGGCGGCTCCCGCGTCTGCCAATGGGAGCGCACGTCGCCGGGAGACGCGGCCGTCGCTCTTCCAAGATGGCGGCGCGTCCGTCGCGAGCAGCCGGGTCGGGGGGAAGCCAGCGAAGCCGAGTAAAGCTGCCGCCCGGGAAAGGACTGAAGGAACTGTTGCCGCCGTTGGCGGCGGCTCGGGCAGTTTTCGCTGCTGCTACGGCTGCTGCCATGCGGCGAGGCTAGGGAGGAGCTCACTTCCCTGGGGTGTAATAATGTTAACAGAGGTAAGCGGCGACGGCGGCCAGTGTTTACCTGTGAAATGGGGAAGGGGTTCGTGTCAGCCCGCCAGTGAACGTCATTTCGCTTGCCGGCGGGTCCGACCCTCGGTAGCGGGCCGCGGGGCCCGAGGAGCAGTAGGGATCCTACAAGTGCCCCCTGAATAGGAGCTGTGCTGACTCAACAGAGTGCCACCACCTCCTGCTGTCTGTGCTCTTCTTTTGCAGTTGTCACTTGCCCGTCGCCCCTGGCACCGGAGACCGCCCCTCCTGCTGTCCTTCCCTCTTAACTAGCCGCTCCCTTCGTGGTATCCCCTTACAAGCTCTGCTGTGTGGCTGCGAGGGTGTCTCAGCGTTGCCGCTGGTTTCCATTTCCCCTCGGTGTGCCCGAGCTGTCCCTTCTCCACTCTCCGGCCTCCACGGCCCTCTACCTCCACGCTCGGTCAGCGTCCTGGGTTTGTCACTTGGCCAGACCGGTTTGTGTTCCACCCCACCTTTGAGATGGACCTTCTCTTTTTTCTAGCGACACTTGGGTAAGCCCCACTCCCACAATCAGTCACCTTTCGCTTAAATCGTGGGAAGAAGAAAGTTCTGATTAGCATCCACCCTCTCGATTGCTTGACGCTCCCTTGGTACTGTCTCTCGGGAACAGTGTTTTTTTTCCCTTGGACCTGAAATGAAAATAGGGCAGCTATGACTAGCCAATCAATATCTAGCGCCCAGTGTCCATTGCAAGAGGCAGACTTTTTGAAGAGTTTCCCTTTCCCTTTATGAACTAAATTGATGTAACTAGGTTTTTGACACAGCGAACACAGTTATGTGTAGTGGCATACACATAGGCAGGTGTAGGCATCATTGAAGATAAGTTCCGAAGTTTGTGAATTTAAGGAAATACTTAAAAGCTACTCACTTGAAGTCCTGTGAGGATTTCTGTGTCAGCTGTCAGGGGCTAGTTTGGGCATCTCTGCAGCCGAACTCCGCATAGGAATCAATTTTAATGGGCAATGGGAAGTATTCTTACTTGGGCCACAAAGAAAATAAAAACGTTAGTGATAATAAAGACCTACTTGTCTTTCCAACTTGGTTAACTCTGAGGAACTTCCTACTTTGGTATTTCTGCTTAAAAATGTATGCACAGTGCCTGGCATATGACGTATTTATGAAATACTCACTGATTGCTTTTAATTCATGAACTACTACTCATTTCTGGAGTTTATTTCATTCCTGCAGATCATGGTATATCATAAGCTTCTGTTGTCATTAGCAGTATTAGTTTAAAAAAACCTTAGAACTAGCAGAATTTCTATTTTTACCTTCAGTGTGATATTTTGGTGAGAGTAATTAGCCTTATAATAAGTTTTCAGCGGTGTCTCTAAATGTACAATATTAAATACGATGATGTTTTGATTCAGTTTGGCTTAGGTTAGCACATTTGAAAACAATTGTAATGCTTTCATATGAACTCATTGTGTTTGCTAATAGAGTAAAATGATAATGACCTGATTGGGAAAGACTGAACTTTCTAAGCTTTTGTACTTTAAAATGATTGTGTGTTTCAGGAACACTTTAAACAGTAAGTCAGTGACAGTAGTTAAATTGCACGTTGGTGCTCTGTGTGTGTGGTGCAGAGTGTGGAAGTGGCGGAGCCAGGGCTCCCACCTTGGCCGCTCTGCGGAGTCCGCTGCCGCTACACCGGTTGCCTCTCTGAAGTAGTGCAGATTCAAGGGTACTTGGATCTCATCTATATTTTTGAGTACTCATATTATAGATTAGAAAACTGAAGTCCAGAGACTTGTTCAAGGTCAAACAATTATTAGTGGCAAAGGTGAAACTAGAATCCCATCTCCTTACTCTCAGCACTTTGACCATTGTGCTCTCAATGTGTTGTTTTCAGCTCTTTTGATAGATTTTAAAATAGGCTCCTTTTCTGAACAGGGTCAGATAAACTGAAAAATTATCATTACTTGAAACTTTTTGCTTTACTTTTAGTTTTTTTGTTCCTCTAAACAAGGCCCAGAAACAGCCCTACTTTAAAATATTTTAGATACAAAAATTTTACTTGGCCTGGCTGGGTGGCTCAGTTGGTTGGAGTCCTGTACACCCAAAGGTTGCTGCTTTGATCCCCAGCCAGGGCACTTCCCTAGACTGTGTATTCGATCCCCACATAGGATTGCCTTGGGGGAGGCACTCAGTCAATGTGTCTCTAAAAATTTTTTTTACTCAATGTTACCAAAAAATTAGTAGCGTGGGACTCCATTTTATTGCTTCTTCTATTGCTAACATTAGATTAGCAAGTTTTAGAAGATGTGATTTATGTTAGATATTAAAATATAAACTGAACAACTATGTTATGAAGGATTTTCATGTTCAACGAGCATATCAGAAAGTGGTGATTGTACTATCTGCTTGGTTCTTTTAGATTTTGACATTGAGGTACATGATAGCATCTCCATTAGCCTGATGAGAAGGCTGGGATTGAGAGTTAAAGTGGCTTGCTGGTAATGAGTGGCGGAGCCAGCAGTCACATCTAAGTCCTCTTATTCCAAATTGTGTGTTGTTTTTGTGGTTCAGTATGGAATGCGTCATTAACTTTTGTACCTGATGATCACCAGTATACTGTTTTTAGGCTTTTTTAAAATCAAGGTGAAGATTCCAAGTTTGTAGACACATAATAATGATAAACATTTTTATGAATGTTTTGCCTTTTGTCAAAATAGATCCTGGAAACCTTTTCAGAAATGAGAAACCATACAAGTAATTAAATTAAGCTAAAAGAGAAAAATACTCAATTGAGCAAATATGTACAATGAATTTGAAACTTGTAAAAAATGGTAGATTAGTATGGGTTGAAAATACGCTCCAGGAGGTCATCTTGCCTTTTTTTTTTTAATGTCCCTTTTTTCCTCCTTGTACCGTCTTTGTTCCTGTGAGGACTTCTTACTCTTAATGTTATTCCTACAACATTTGGCAAAAAATTTGTCAAACTTAAAATTTATTTGTTTATACCCACTCACCTTCTAACCCCCTATTCTCATTTTTAAAGTAAGAGTACACTTCTGTATATCAGAATTACTTAGGTATGGGATGTTTACCTGATAATTTGTTTCAATTAATCTTACTTTTCACAACATTGAATGTGGTAAAATATTTATCAGTTAGTTTTCATTAAATACACTGTTGAACTATTCTTTGATGTTTCAAAGCTATCAGGGTTTTTATTCAGAGCATTTATTATAACAGAAAGCCAAAGGTGTAGAAGATGTAGAAAAACTCGCAGAATTTGCACCCCTGGAGGCTGTTTCATGGGAAAAGCAATTACCAGCCTATTGACACTTGTCTTGTGCTTTTAAAAATAGCAAATAAAATTTTTAGTTGTTTAACTTAATAGTTGTTTGGGTTGTGTGCAAATGTGGGGTATTAGTTAATGTTAAATAAAAATAGTTTGTTTTATATTTGGGTTAAGTTATTTCCATTCAGATTACTGATTCTTAATATATTAACACTAATTCTTGATTTTGTGGTTAAAAAAATAGGATACAGAGGGAAAAAGGTGTAAAGTGCAGCACTGTTAGAAGTCCCAGGTTAATAGTTGTTAAGGGAGTAAGATTTTGTGGTTCAAATAAATTTGGAAGATGTTTGCCTAAAGGAATTGTATAATAAGTTTCTTCTCTGGAGACCTGCTCATAGATTTTGAGGTGATTTACTCTCAAAGAAGGTGACAGAATTTGCATTATATTTCAGAGTTGTTTAATCTGTTGGTTTTGTTTCTGTAATATTGGACTAATATCGAGCCTTACAGGGTTTCTGGTATTTCATTTTAGGAAATCCTGAGATGTGATGAGTTGTGCGTCAAGGAAGGAACTCTGGACTTGGAGGGCTCTTTTTATACACAAACACACACTCACATTGATACACGCTTGCTCATAATAAATGATTAGTAAAAAATTATGACTTCTTGATATGTTTGTTAATAGGCATACTCTTGCAATGGGTTAATTCTTAAACAACATGAGCTATTTCTTTAATTATTAATTGATGACACTGTAAAGGCAACTGACCAGAAAGAGAACTTTAGGTCCATTGGCATTGAAAGGATGTTAAGCTAGAAAATGTTGTGAAGAGAGTAAACTTTGAATTAAAACAAGTAGACAGACAGCTTTTAACATACCATTTAAAAAACATGGTTGAAATTGAGTGAAAAATAAGGCTGGAGTCATAGTAATGCATACTTATGTCTATCACTGATACCTGCCAGAGTAGTGAGATAGCACACAAATGACCTGTATGTTAAGCATTATAAGAATGAGTCCCGACTTCACCTCTTATTTATGATGTGACACTGGGGCAATTGTTTGAACTTTTTGAGCCTTAGTTGCCTTCTGTTTAAAATTGGGATAATAATTGCACTTTCCTAAGCTGCTGCTCTCTCATTACTGTGAAGATCAAATAAAGTGAAAGAGGGTATGCAGCTCATTATAAACTGTCGGTCATTATACAGATATCAGTGGTTAGTACGTCAGATTTTTTTCTTTCTATATGCCTTGTACTAATATGAATTCAGTTCCTAGGTTCCATCTAGCTTTATTGCTCAGTAGATGGGCAATGGATCCCTGGAAAAAGATGTCCTTTAGCCATTGGTCTAGTTACAGAGGAGGCAAAGAGTAGACTAAAAGAAGTGAAAGGAAAAAATAGACTGAGAACATGTCCTGCAAACTAGTGATGAGGGTAGTTTATTATGTGGTTGGTAAACCGATGCCAAAGAATTTCTGAAAGGGAAGTTCCAAAAAGTATTTTGTAAAAGTTCACTTATTTGAAGGTTAGCAATCATTTGTGTGTATATACTCAGAAATATTTGTAGGAAATCCTTCATTTTTAATCAATCCTGGCAATCCTAAAAATCTTGGTATGATTCTTAAAAGGAAAACTGTTGTTTAGGATGATTTTGATAGGGCTTTGTGATGACCTGTACTGGACATTATTTTTAGTGGATTAATTTGTTTACCAAACACAAGTACACCTACTGTGTGGTAGGCACGTGCTAAGTTCTGGGGCTTTGGTGGTGAGTCAGACCTAGAACTTGCCCTCAGACAATTAACTATCAGAATTAAATTGTGCCAGTTGGGCCATGGTTCAACCAAAGCCTTGAGGTCTTTTGTCAGAATCAAACAAGTAATATAATTAAAGGGTGAAAAAATGAAGAGGAAGAAAAGGTAATTACTTATATTAGCTTTATAACTCCAGGTCAAGCTGCTAGTTTGGATGAGATGGAAGCCTTAAAATGAGGTTCTTACAACTTCAGTCAGCCCATCTCAACTGTCTGCATTTGCTCCACGTAAATTCACAGTGTGAAGTGAAAGAAAAAATGAGAACAGAGAAGAAAAATCTGTGAATTTGTCATTATTTTTTCCTTGAGAAGACTTTAACTCTCTTTATGAGGTCTACCAAATTTTACCAAAAGACCCAGCTGAATTCCATTACCCTGGTGAAGGTAATACTTGGTCCCCGTGTACCTTTCATTCATTTGCTTATTTTACATTTCTTCCCTACTTGATTGTACGCTCCTGAAGATGGCATTCACAACCGTTTTCCCTGCCTCTGAAACAGAGCTGGAGGCTTAGTAGTCCCACTTAACATCTGTTGAATG